AATGGTGTACCGATAAATAACGGGCGTTATTTCAATGTTTTAACGTTATTTGGGCGTTATTTCAAAAACCGGTCCGATTAGGTAAAAAACCGCCCAATTAGCTTGAAAAACAGTCGGTTTGTGTAGATTCCAGGTGGTTTTGGTCTAGAAATTTTTTGGGGTGTTACATATGCTTATTAGAACACCTAAATCAGGACTAACCCGAACTTTGAAGATATCGGTTCCATTCTAATCGGCCGGTTCCGATTTGAGCCAACCATTTTTTCCAACACTAGTCCCAATATCCAACATTTGTTTTTATTCAAGTACAGTGGGTGAATACAACCTTGCATTGGATCATTGCTCTTTTTCTTTTTTCCGTTGTTTAAGTTGATTGTTGGGTTGAGTAGATTTCATCAATAAATTTTGTGTTTCAAAAGTTCTCCAAGTCAAGAGTTTTGTCCGAAAGAGCAAATATACAGTTCACTATCACATAAGCATGAAGCTTTTCCAAAATTTTTTTTTGCAGAACTAAGGCTGTCATCAGAGTTTTGTGTGGTCTGTTCGTTGAAAATGCAATTTTGTCGCTTTAATTATGAGCAGCTCCATGTTCTAAATTAGTAAAAAGTTTATACAAGGTTACAACTTTATATTATAGAAATAAGGTGCATCTCAAAAATCTTGTAGAAAATAACTTTTTGAAGTTAGAAAATCTAGAGCTTTAAAGTTGGAAAACGTTCCAATTGATCATATCAACCTCAAGATCTATAGATATAAAGAAAAGTAAATATTTCAAGTCCTAAAAACAATATAATTTATAGCAAGTTATCTTGATCGCCTATTTAAAGATTTTCAAGTATTCATTGATATGTTGGATCTATACTGTTTTTTGGAATTTTCAAACCATTATTAGGTTTCTAACACCAAAACTACATCTGTTAGAAAAAATTAAGGGGAAATATCCTCATACTTCTTATTTTTGGTTTTCATATCTCAATAAATCCAAAAATTTAAAATATATTTCCTAACCCCGAACTAACTTTACCTACTTTTAGTTATTTTTTTAGCCTAACAAATATAAAAAAGACATACTCATTCTAAGCCTTTCGTTTCTTTACGTGATATATTCCCCCAAACTTTATCTCTTTCTCTCTTTTCCTTGAGATTTTTCTAAACCCCTTCTCTCTTTCTCTGTGTATTTTCCCCCACTTTCTCTCTCTAGGTCTCTCGCTCTCTCTCTCATTACAGACACAGTCTACATACAATTAATCATCCATACAAATAATCTCCAACCAATCAATAGAAGAAATACACATAAATCAAGCAAATATAACCATACAAATAATATCCAACCAATCAATAGAAAAAATATACATAAATCAAGCAAATATAAAAAATAAATAAACCATGGAGAGAGAGCGTATGGGAAAATAGGGAGAGAGAGAGAGGGGCTTTGGGAAAAGTCATGGAGAGAGAGATTTAAGGGAAAATCACATGAATAGAGAGAAAGGATGGTGTTTAGAAATGATAAGTCTTTATTATATTTGTTTGAGACAAAAAAATAGGTTTAAAGGGGATAAAGTTAGCTTAAGGGGTTAGAAGATATAAGACTTATAATTTCTATGACCTAATATATATTTTGAAACCTTGAGTCTATTGAGATATAAAACTTAAAAATGAAAAGTATGGAGATATTTTCCCAAAAATTAAAAGTGTGTCTCACTTAGATAATATGAGGTAGACACCCTGTACAAAATTTACCCTTTAAATTAGGATGAAGTTTCTATAGGGCCAAGTCTTTATGAAAACAGAATAAAGTCTCACCTCAAATCCTCATCCGAAAAGTACTTTTGGCATCGAAAATCTTCATGATAGTTCTAAAATTAATTTCCAACACCAACAAAAAATTTTGAAACTGAAAAAATAGTATGTATCTTGTAGATCAGTGAACACTTATTTTTAGGGCAAAATAGATGGTTTAGATGATTTGTTGCAATATACCTTATTATTAAAATTTGAAATCTTAATTTTTTTGCACAACCATAATGTTCAAGCTGAGATGATCAACACTTGAATTGCAATTTTTTATGAGTTATGAGGTGAGGCTTTATTTATTTTGATCAACCCATTTTACTTTACATTATAGTCAAGGTCAATAAATATTTGTTGCTTGGTGAGATATATTGATTTACTCCAAGATTTATCTATATCCCATTGCATTAGGAGCAAACAGGGAAAAATATTTGCCCCTTTCAAAAGCTATTTAGGTTAAGAATGCTAAATAATGTAGCCATCGTTTATTTATGTTAAAGAAGGTCAGAGTCACTTTGAGTTGTTAGAAGTGGAATCGGATGGCTGAGCATGTACCGCTAATGGCTCAAAAGTGTGCCACTAACTATACTCCACTTTCCAACAAAAGTTTTTGCCCTCCTACAGAGAAATGACGCACATCAACCGTCCCATTTTTCATCCAAGCCCTGTGGGCGCTTGTGAGGACTGTGTACGATCTTTACAATTCCTTCTTTTTTTTTCACTTTATCCTATGTGTAGAATTGTTTATTGTAATATTTTGACTTCAACTTTATTTTAGTAGAGAAGTGGGAGGTTTCACTTTGATTATTTCTTTTTGGTTTCATCAGCAGAAGCATAGGATTCTTTCCTTGATTTGTTGCCGAGTCTCCACTCTAAACTACCTCAAAAGCAAGAGCAAAAGTAACACGCATGCTTTTCACATGGAGAAAGAGAGAGAGAGAGAGGCTGCTATTGACAAGAGAGAGGGGGAGTGCATATTTGCTATTGAATGTGTGTGTGAGAGAGAGGGAGAGACTTGAATATGTGTGATTTGTATTAGGCTGAGGCTCTAAACAATCAAAGTAAAGCGTATCTATAAGTAGTGTTGAAAATGATTTTTTTTTTTAAAAAAAATCTTTGTGATGGTGTGAAAAGTTATTTTTGTCTCCAATTATAAAATTCAGAATTTAAAAAATTGTGTAGCTCGAACAGATGTATGAACATTCGAAAATACCGAGAATCAACCGCTCAAATATGTTTTACAAGATGAACTATTTCCCAGACTTAAAACCTATTTTCTTTTAGTATTCAATTTGAAGGGGTTTTGATATCAAAACAACACCTTCTAGTGAATTTTTGAGATGCGTCTTAATTTAATTGCTTAGGTTTCTTATTTTAGAGAAAGAGAGAGAGAGAGAGGGGGAGAGGCTAATTTGCTTTGGAATGAGGGGCCATGAGAAAATGTTTTATGAGATTTGGTGTAGCTTTACAACTTTATCTTTTGATAGTGGGAATACAGTGCTCCCCCTTTCCCAGGCACCAAGACGCTTCATTCCCATTTCAATATTGTTCCCCCCCACCCTTTTGAAGAGAGAGAAAATATGGACTATTGCTCTCATACAGCTTTACAACTTTGTTTATTGAGAGACCTTTTATGGTATTTATCTCACAATAATGTTTTTATTGAAATGGAGAGGGGACCCGCCTCCCCAACTTTAAGAAAGAGAAAATTATGATTAGAGAGAGAGTAATGAATCCATTATAAGTTGAGGAAAGAGAGTCATTGATTGGAGAGAGAACCAAGCAAGATTGAAATACATGGACGGTAAATCTATGGACATAAGGGAGAGCACACTTTCTCTCTCCTCTTTATTGTCTCCATCTCTCAAATAGGATTTAGGACCATAGGATTATAAGCCATGTGCGTGTATATTTGAGTCCGTGATTTTAAAAATGGATTAGTGACTCGGATGGGCACTCAAAAAAAAAATTTGTTAGGATAAGTGAATCGGCGATCCGGATCGTTGTTTTATTGTACGAAAAAAATAATTAATAAAAAAAAAGACATATGAAAAAGATTGTGGACCGATCAAAAACCATTATGGATCGGTATCTTACTCTAAAGAAATGTCATTTTACTGTAGAACTATCGGTTCTCTTCTAGATTTTATTGCTGTTTTTTTATAGATATGTAAAACCCAAATGGATTGATCGATTCCATGCCTAAATCGAACGATTAGTGCTGACCCATCATTTTTTAGATCACTTATTTTAGTGTGTGAACGAGCTTTGTTGTAGACACCAGGATGGATGTGTACCCAATTTATTGAGTTTTTGGAAATCGGTAAATAAATGCAAAATTGAGCGCACTTTAAAGAGAGAGTATTTAGCAATTTCAGTCACTTCAAAAGAGGGTGGGAGGGCTTAGCAATTTCAGTTCCTTAAAATATTGGGTTGTGGAATGACAAAATTAGCAATTAAACCAGTTTAGAGGCCAAAAATAGAGTGTTTTCGGCCATTTCATTCACGTGGAAAGTGATGAGGAGAGAGAGAGAGCGGTGGTAACGGTCGATGCAGATCCATGTGCAACGGGTTGGATTCGGATCTGAATTAATCAGACTCAACCCAGACCCAAATAGTATTCACATTCAAAGTTGGACTCGGATCCGATCCGCTTAGTCCAATTTTTAGATCGACTCGATTGGAGGTCTAACCCTCGAGTCCGATGTCGGGTTTGGATCCATTGCCACCCCTAAAGATAGAGGTGGGGCCAATTTCACATTCACCAATAGAGAAAGAGATTGGCAATTTCACCTTCACCAAAAAAAAAAAAGTGGGTGGCAATTTAAAAAATAGATTGGGTAGAGAGAAATTTTGGAAAATAATGGAGGATGGGTCCATGGTGAAGGCGACCTCTTTTTATGTTTCCCTCCTCCAAATGTTGGAGAGTGGGTGACGCGGGTGGGAGAAAATACAAGAACCAGAAATAAGTGTAGAGAGAGAGGGGGCGGTTCCAACGAAGAAATGTAGCCACTTGTTGTTTCTCGCTCAAAACCGGCGGCCAAAAGCTAGAGAGAGAATGGGAGGACAGTTGGGTTGGGTCTTCTCTTTTTATTTTCTTTACTATTTTCACAATTGTTCGACCGTCCTTTTCTGTTTTAAAAAGAGGATAAAAATGAATTAGGTCGGTGGAGACGCGTCCCTATAAATTCGATGCGCTGGACTCAGCCCCGCATATGTTAGAGAGAGAGAAACCTAGGGGCCATCCTCTCTCCTCCGCGTAGCGGTTGTAGAGAGAGAAAGACTCAGGAAACGATCATTTAGAGAGAGAGAGAGGCAAAAGAAAGAGCCGCGAAAGCTCTCTGCAACGACGAAGAAGGCTCCCTCTCTTAATTCATCTCTCTTTGACCCCCGCTCCTTAAATCATTGCTTTCGCCGGGTCTCTCACTAAAAAGTCTCGTCAATTTCAGAGAGTCGTCTCCTTGAGAAACCCTCCCACTTCTCTCACCTAAAATTCCCTTTAATTTTTTAGAGAGAGAGAGAGAGTCGTCCGCTGAGAACCCTGGTTTTGCAAAGGGGGAGAAAGATAAGCTCTCTCAGAAACCTTGGATCTGGTTCAGTTCTCTCCTCAAAACTTCCTTTGAGATTTGTGGAGAGAGAATCGTTGAGCAACCCTAGTTTTGCAGAGAGACAAAGAGAGGCTTTGTTTGTGAAGCCCTAGATTTGCTCAGAGACAGAGAGAGAGAGAGAGACCTCTTGGAAACTAAGATTTTCCAAGAGCGAATTGTCTTGTAGAAACTCAAGAGTGGCAGAATAGAGAGAGAATTGTCCTTTGAGAAACCAAAGATTTGCAGAAGAGGGAGATAGTCCTTTGAGAATTTTTAGATTTGCAGAGACAAGCCATTTGTATCTATGGGAACAGAGGTTCTTCGCCCTCAAGACTGCTTGCGAGACTCCATGAGGGTTCCTGTCTCTCCTTTTCAAAGGAGACGCGCACCAGGCGGAGGAAACCCTAACTGGAACCTCAAACGAGCTCCGAAGAAGAAATCACAGTTCGATTCATCGAACAAAGCCAAGGATAACCAGGCCAAGAACCTGGTTATGGGTCAAGTAACAATCTTAAAAAGGGGCCAGCCCCTGATCCCTGCAAAAGACCAACGATCTCCTCAAAAACCAGCTCTTCTTGGAAGAGATCCCATTGTTTCGAGTACCGAATTTCTCGGACCCGATCCAGCCATGGTTCCAAAGAAAATTGGTCTCACTGATCTCAAAGAAGCTTTGTCTTCTGGTTTTAAATGCCATGATGTTTATGCAGGAAGCGGTTTCTCAGTTTCTCCATCTCCAAGTGCGTTGCCCCTTCCAAGCTTCTCGAGAAAGAAGTCCTTATTTCCTACCATTGATGACTCTGCAACTAAAGATCTCAGGCGTCTTCTGAAGCTTGAATAATTCACATCTGATCAATTCTTAGGTTCTTCTTTCTCACTCTTCTATCTCCTCCATCTCTGGGCTTCCTGTTTGTTATTTTTTCGTAACAGGAAGGCCTCCAAAATGGGGAAATCCTCTATCCTATCCATTCCCTGTTTCTCTCGGGTTAAACCTAAATCTAGGATGTAATAATTGGGTTTCTTGGGACATCAAGCTTCATCTTTATCCCAAAAGTGCAGAGTGGTTGTGTTAGAAAAATGGAGGGTTCTCTGCTCGGAGGTTGATGGGTTTATTAAGGTTTCCTTGTCGTGATGATCTCTGTTTCTGTAAGCTGTAACTCCATGGAATTTGAAAGCGAGTTGCCGAAGCTTTCAGAGAAATGGCAACTGCCCTGTTAATATATGTATAGGGCTGCAATGGTTTGATGAATTTTAGGGTTTGATTTGTGAAATTTAGATTAGAAATTGGAAGTGTGATCTTTGATGAATTTTAGGGCTTTCTCTGTAATATTCCGAGGAGAATTGAAGACGTTATCTTTGATGGATTTTAGGTTTTCTCTCTATAGTTTAGAGGAGAAATTGAAGATTTTATCGAGCAATGGTATGGCATCAAGGGTCTTGGCGCTTTTTGTGTGCTCTTGTAATCTATCTCTACATATTAATCGAAATAATGTTGTCGTAATTGTGTAGAAAATCACAAATTTACGAAAAATTTCCCCTTTTCTTGTGGTTTTTACTTTGGTTGAGGTTTGTTTCCTGGAGGATGATGTTTACGTTTAACCCCAGCTGTTAAATTTAAAATTTAAAAAATGAACAAATTAAGGGGTTTTGTTAACATTTGAAAATCTTTAAAATAAATAGGTTTAGAGAATTTGTTATAAGATGCATTATTATTAGCACACGCTTTCTATGAGTACTTATAGAAATGAGACACCTCTAAAAAATCTGTGTTTGAGATGGATTTTTTGACCTAACTTTTAAGGACATGTAATCTCTAACATGGAGGTTATATTGGTCATGAATATAAAGATAAAAATTAAATTTTGAAATGGATCCGGTCTCCAGCATCTTAGAAAATTAAAAATAATAATTCTATAAAAAAAACATTTGGACTGTTAATTTTAATTATTTTAGATGGATCACTTATCCACGAAAGAGGTGGACGCTTACGTTAGTTTAGCATATTTTTTAAGATGAATGCTTTATGCCTCAGGGACCGTGCCCGTAAATGTAGAAATGTTGTTCTTGCCGCATATGTAGAAATGTTGTTCTTGCCGCATGAAACAATTTTTTTTATTATTAGGACTTGAAAATCCTTCTCATATTTGAAATTCTTTTTTTTCATCTCAAGGTCGAGATGATGAATTTGTAAGTGTGCTAAATTAAGTATATAATTCCAAAGATGAATTTGTAAGTGTGCTAAATTAAGTATGTAATTACTTTGGAATTGATAGTTGCAGTTTACTTTGAGCCATGATTAAGTATGTAATTACTTTGGCATTGATGGTTTCAGTCAACTTTAAACTGTGATCATTTTTAAGATGGATGTTTTATGCTTTGGGACCGCAAATGTAGAAATGCGAAAACAATTTTCCTTTCGATTAGAATTTAAAATTCCTTTTCTCATCTCAAGGTGAAGTAATTTTCCTTACTATTAGGATTCAAAATTCCTTTTCTCATCTCAAGGTGAGGTGATCAATTCCTAGGTGTGCTAAATTAGGTGTGTAATTGCTTTGTAATCGATATTTTCGGTCAACTTTGAACCATGATCGATTTGTAGGTTGCTAAATTAAGTATGTAATTACTTTGGAATGGATAGTTTCGGTCAACTTTGAACCATAATTGTGCTAGTGATCAAAGTAGTTTGTTCTAGACTGTTTAGATCCTTTACAATGAGCAGATCGGAATGCATAGATCTAGATTGCTTTCATTTCCTCTTTACAGTGAACATTTAGACAGATTGTTAGGAATATTAGTTCTGGATCACCACTTGACATATATATATATTGATCTCAATAAAAAAAAATAGCAATTATACCTTTTAATTACTTGAAAAAAAACAGTACCTCAAGATTTCATAGAAACTGTTTAAAGGTGAGATCCGAGTGTTAAAAAAAATCAAATTTCAATTTTGTTTTTTTTGAAAATATTAACATGGTTATTAAAATTTCATATTGCAAAAAATCTTCCCAATAGGTCTCTGACCTAGGGAGTAGAAGCAAACTATGCTCCCGAGGTTGCATAGTATAGGATTACGATAACTTTCGAAAAAATCGGTTGATTTAATCAACCACCTCAATAATGTTTTAGGTGGTTGGATCGCCGATTTTTCTATGAAATAATCATCACTAGACTTTTGTGACATGGCCATTGGGTTGAAGCAGTTGATTGTTAATTCCTATGTTGAATGATAGAGAAATAAATTAAATTAAAGGCTCTTTTCAATATAAATATATTTTTTTAAATGGTCTGGGTGTTGATATTTTGAAGGTGGAAGCCAATAACTATAGAATGGACGTTAAGCAATGTGCCATCTGGCCTTCATGCAGTGGGTTTCTGGGCTGGAGTAAGCAATTAACCTACCTAAACCCATAAATAAATTATGAATTAAGGTGAAAAACAAATACATACAAACAAGTAATTTAAAAGACGTGAGTCACGAAATTGCCGGGTCTGATCTAGAAATCAGTAACCTTATACAATATATAAAAATTCATTTGGGTCTAGAAGAGACATGGCCATTCACTACAATAAAAATGTTGTTTTGTTACATTTACGGTAAAAATGTAGTTTTGCTACAATAAAAATGTCAATTTATCGATCTATACCGGTTTTTTGCCGGTTCACTGTTTTTGCTTATTTTTTTTGTTGGTTCACTATTTTGTCTGCATAGTAAAATGACGATCCGGACCGATGATTCATCGATCTAGACCGATTTTCACAATACCCGATCCTTGTCAAGGATCCATTTTTTAAATCACTTATACATATGCAAACAAATGCTATTGCTCGTCACGTCGTAATAAAGTCCAATATATAGTTAATCATAAGTTGAGGGGTCCGGAATATTAATCGACGAAAATGGTTGTTTATTTCTCCAAATATCATATGAATTTTTAAGCCTGTTGTAGAAGTCATATTGAAATGTAACAAAGAAAAATGTACATTGAGGTGTCAACCTTATCTTTTAGCCTTTAATTTTTCGGCACTCTACAAGGCGTCAATTACATTGGACGCACCAGAAAAGGGTTGTTTTATTGGGACATTATTGTCCTGTTGATTAGGACACAATGCCCATCTTTGGAATACTTTCTATGTATTTGTACACATTTTATGTTAAAACTTTCCATCTTGATTAGGTAGATTATATAATTGAAGTGATCCGACGATAATATCACAAATTGATGTAAGCTATTTTCATCTAATTATAATTTATTTATGGTATTAATATTGGCTTATTCCCAATTATCCTGCAAACATGACATTTGTATAATGCCTATTATTTAATATTGGTATGTCCAGTTATTGAGAAGGAATAGAATTTTAAATGAATATGCTACTAGGCGTAGCACCAATAATAGCGATAGGATGAAAGAAAGTAGATTTAAGTGGGTTGACCATATATAATGTCGACCCAATACAACACTTGTTAGGAAGTACAAGTTAATTCAAGAAAACTGCAAAACAAAAGAAGGGATAATTACAAAAAACACTAAAAAATGAAATATCTATGCAACTTACCCCCACCCCAAACTTTCTCACACATTTTTTCCCCCAAACTACTTTTTCTCGCAAAATCCTCCCAACCCAAAAGTAACATGAAATAAGACTAAAGTACCATTTTCCTTTTCACACGGCCTTCTCTCTCTTGTTTCTCGCAGTAAAGACGAGCTCGCAGTCCCATTGTGCGCTCTGACAGTCCCACAGCTCTTCAGCATTCTGATAACTCGCTCTGGCAATGCAACTATACGCTCCAGTAGTTCGCTCTGGCAATGAAGCCTTTGGAGCCACAACACTCGGGCAATGGAGGACTACGTTCCGACAGTCCGAATGCGCTCTCCGGCAATCACAATGTGCACTTCCGGCAGGGCTTTGTCTGAGCCACAACGCTCCGGCATACTGAAAACTGCTCTCCAGCAGTTTGAATGCGTGCTCCGGCAGTTTCAATGTGCGCTCCAGTAGTCATTTGTCTGACCCACAGTGCTCTGGCATTCTGGGAATGCGCTCCGTCGGTGAAAAGAAGCGCTCCGACAGTTCGCTCCAGTAATGAAGTCTTTACAGCCACAACGCTCCGACAATGTAGCACTGCGCTCCGACAGTGATTCTTGACATTCCACTTTAGCAGTACTATGCTGCGCTCCAGCATTACTCTACTGGGGATCCGCGAATTGATTCGGTTTGTAAGGAAATGGCATTTCCGTCCAAAAAATAAGAATATTTTTACCTTGGGGGGTTTTTGCGAGGAAAGATTGTTTGGGAGAAAAAAGTGTGAGAAAAGATTGTGGTGGAGATAAGTTGATAGTTCTAGGGTGTTTTTTGTAATTTTCTACAAAAAAAAAAAAAAAAAGAAAAAAAGAAAGAAAGAAGGATGTATGCTCAAAAGTGAGTTGTGGTTTTTGATCATTTCAACAAATCATTTATTCCACTGGCATGATATTTATGAAGAGTTGCATACAAATACCATGCATCATTATATATTTGCATCAAACTTATCAGTAGCTAATCAATGTTAATCTATATTGATGGACGATGGTGATCATGGTCTATGCATGTGAGGTTTTCACGCACAAGAGGGCAGCGATTATCTTTGAAGACAAGCATCTGTCAATTCTTATAGCTGGCACTAGCGGTCCCTTAGTATGTCCACACCGTATTTATTTGAGGGAAATTTACATACGGCCAAAACGGAGCAATGGCCTACTTCTTAGGGACCCCAGTTAGAGAGAGAGACGCAACAATGGCCATGGCTTCTTCTTCAGTTTTCTTTGTTGCTTTGCCTTAACTAGGTACACTAGCGTCTTGCCAAGTTCTTTAATTGGGGTTTTTCCCTCTCATAGTTAAGCCTCCCAAAAGTAAGGTTTTTCTCTCATCATGTTAGAGCTTCTACTTCTTCAATCACCTTGCCGGACGCATACATTCTTGGAGCTGCACTTTCTCTCTCTAAATTGTTCATGGCCGCAGCCCAGGGTTTGGCCTCCAAGATTAGGGCACTTTGCTTGAACCCCACTCCGTACGATGCGGCTTTTCTTCAAATTCTTCAAAATAATCTAATTTGCACAGTTATGCCTCTGTTCTTCATTGCTATTAAGGACAGACCAGTTGGTTATTTCAACACGCCATTAACTGTGCCGAACTAATAGAGTCTCATGTATTGCTTGAAATTGAGAAATTGTTCATATTTTTATTCTATTTGCAGTTTTGATATCTTTTTTAGTTGGTGGTGGATTTGTTTGTGCAAAAGCATTATCTGTCGATGCTATGAAGGACAGACCAGCAAGTTCCGGAACACGCCATTAATTGTGTTGAACTTGTTCAGGAATATTATTCCTCCATCTTTGATGCTTTGGCTGTGAGCCCGCTTGTTGTTTTCGTTTTGGGGACTATGGGTTCAATCTTTAAATCAGGAAATTATTTATGGTGGCCAAGTATATTGAGAAGATAAATAAATCAGGAAATTTTGGGATATCATATAGT